GCCCCGCGCGGGGCCGGAGGAGCCTCGGGGTCCCGCCGCGCTTGTCCCCGCGCGCACCGCGTCTTCCCGAGCGCTGCGGGGCCCTTCGCGCGGAAACCAGCGCCCTCCGAGCTGGGGATGCAACCCGAGAGGGCTCCTGGCACGGCTCGTGACACCCCGACACCTGTCCGCTTAACCCGAGACACGGTGCGCGTCCCTCGTCCCCGCGTGTCACGCTGCGTCCCCCATCAATATTGCAGGAGGCGTCGTGGCCGCCCGCCTGGTGCGGTGGGACGCGCTCCGGTAGCCACCAGCGCCGCTCCTTGAGGGCCTCCGGGAGCCACGTTCCCGAATTTGGCCCTTTTGAAGGCATCAGGCAGGGTTTAGGTGCTCAGAAGCGTTTCTCTGGGTGGTGTAAAGCAAGGTGGCCTTTTCGAGCACTCGATTAATGGAAGCTAGTTAAGGGGTGGACCGAACGATGCAAGAAACAAGCCAAGAACAACAAGGCCAAAGTTTTTTGGGGGGGTGCTAGGGTTATGGCTGTATTTCAGGGTGAAAAATATGGATCCTGTGGTTTCATAGTGATTTTTTGTATGTTATTTTATATGGTTTTTTATGGTTTCATAGTGATCCTGTGGATCCTATAGTTTCATAGTAGCTACTGTGATTTGGGTTATTAAATGCAAAGTTTGACACCAATTTTAGGTCACACTCAGGCAAGGAGGTGGCAACGAGAGCAGGGGCAGAGCAGCCTCGGGCAGCCTGATGCTTCCTGCTCCGTGAGCCTGCCTGGGCCGGGGGGAGATTACACACTGAATCAGTAATGGAGCCTCGCAGGGTGATTAGCGTTTAAAGGCTTTGATCTCCTGCTTCTTGATTTTATTCCAACCCCTCGATTGAATTTCCCTCGTGTAACTGAGCTCTGCTAATCCATTCTGTCCATATATAATGGATGGAGGTTGAGTGAAGAAACACAAACACATCACTGAATATCAGTGACAAAAAAATATCAGTGACAAGCGTTTGGGAAGCGGTGAAGATCCGTTCCTGCCCTGCATAAAGGGAAAGGAAGCTCAGTCCTATATCCCTCCAGCTGTGAACAGGACTTGCCGCCCCAGTGACACTAACAGACCCCAAGCTCTGGCTGCAGAGCAAGGAGCTCATCCTGCAAATGGGAGGTTGATGGCACTGTGCCTATGATTATAGGCACTGCTGTACGTGTAGGTGCCCATGGGTGCCAGGGCATAGCGTCTAGCAAGGAGCGGGAGAGAGAAGGCAGCGGATGAGCCTGGGTGACCCCATGTAGCAGCCGTGGCATTGTCTGGCCCCCTGACCTGCTGATGGGGATGGAGGCCCTGTCCAAGAAGGCCACCTATCTCCTGTGTCCTGTCTTCTCCCACTTGGCCATGTGTGCCAGTCTGGTCATGCTCGGAAGACCAGGCAGAGCTGAAAGTCAGAATCCCTTGCTGAGACTCCTCTGCTTAAGGACTTGGTTCTCCCATGGGTAAGGGAGCTCAGCCAAGGTTTCGTGGTCAGAAAGTCATTTTTGGAAGAAGCCCCTCATCAAAGCCCTCGTCTTTGGATGAGCCACCCTCAAAGGTGGCAGGGCAGTTCCCCAGAGGCCGGGAGAGCAGGAGGGACAAGAGAAGTGAGGCAGGATGAGGATCAGAGCAGCCCTATCTGAGGATGGTTTCCTGCAAAAGCGCCAGTCCCACTCACTGGGCACCACGCTGCTACTTGATGCCCCTCCGTCAAATATTAATGTGATGTTAATTGTGCTCTCTGTCCTCCTACAGCTTCAAACACGCTCCTTGCCCAGCTCCCGCAGCAGAGCCAGGCCAGGCTCCCCAGCTCCTCGGACCTCTCTCTTGCCCCCGGGACCTCTGCCTCAGCTCCGCAGATGGGGCAGGAGGACCCGGCTGGGTACGTACTGCTCTCCATGCAGGATTTTGGGAGGGTTCGCTGCATTCAGCACCCACATTTTGTTACTGTCCCAGTGCTAGCAGCATGCTCGACAGCATGGGGACACGGCGCTGCTCACCGGTGGCCTCTGCAGTGCTGCAGGAGGGCAGGGACAGCTCCAGCTACCCGGTCTTGCAACGCGATCCTCACCGGCACGGCCGGAGGGATGCTCTGCCACGGCGGATCACCTTGCCCAGCTCCGCCACGGCCGATATCGGCCAGATCTTTTGGCTCCTGCGAACAGTGCAAGCGAGTTAGCTGCAGATCGCAACGCATTTGCTTCACTAATGAGACTTATTCTCTTAAAGGTAACAAGCGGAGGGAGCGCGGGGCAACAGCGGGATCTCCTTGCTTGGGTTTTGCCCAGCGGTGCCCGCAGCCCCATGAGCAGATGCCCGGCGGGACGGAGTGCCGCAAGGCACGCGGGCGCCCAGCAGCAAAGGCTCTTCGGAGGCGCCAGGCTCCGCTTGATGGTCTCCTGAAAAAGCGCTTCTCCCTGCGGAGAAGGGCGGCCAGGTGAGCTCTGGGCACCGGCGAGGGGAATGGCCCCAAAGGGCTGCAAACACGGGCACCTCAGCTCGGATATCTCCCTTCCCTGCTCCCTCTTTAAGGGGCTCTCCCAGCGGAGTTTCCCTGCACGCATGTGTGGGCAGGGCAGAGGGTCACCCACGGACGGGCAGCGTGCGGCTGCGCTGCAGCATTGCTGCCCTCGGGTCTGAGACGAGCCGATGTGCAAGTGCGGGGAAAAATGCTAGTGGCCATTCTACCAGGAGAAAAAAAATAAGGAAGAAAAGGGGGAAGGCAGAAAAGTCCAACGTGACCTTGCAGTTTTCCCTTCAGCCGATCATGTCCTTGCCACCAGCAAGCTGGGTCTAAAAGACCTCTCGGAGGTCAAGGCCCCTTGTTTTTCTGGAAGCCGCAGAGGCCCCGGGGTGCTGTGGGGCTGCGCGTGGCAGCGGCCGCGGGGCCGCCCGCGAGCCTGGCGCCTGCCCAAGCGGGTCAGCAAAGCGGATCCGGTAGCCGCGGGCACGCCGGCTATGCCAGGACACCCGCGCCAGGCAGCAGGGTGGGAAACGTGCCACGAGCTCGCGGCTCGCCGGGGTCCGCGCTCACCTTGTCACTGCTCCCCCAGGCCCGCCGGCACACGAGCCCGCAGCGGCCACCCGCCGCCCCGCGAGGAGGGGCCACCCGTGTGTGGCCGCCCGCAGCCAGTGAGTGCCCTTCGCCCCGACCCCCGCTCCCCATGCCCCATGTTGGTGCCTGACACCAGCTGACCCCTCTTTCCTCGCCAGTGACCAAGTCTTGTGGGATGATGAAGCCCAGCGAGTGCAGCAAATCCCTCCTGGCAGAGCTGAAGATCAGGAGACCCACGCAGCGCGCCCGGATCCCGGCGACTTTCACGGACCCCGTACGTTTCCCCCAGCCTGTGCCTGGGTCTGGCACTTTCCCCAAGGCTGTCCCTGCCCTTCTCACCCCGCCTGGGGCCATCACGGCGCAGTGTCCCCGGGCAAGGGGAATGAGCCCCAGCATTACAGCGCGGTGTCCCCGTGCAAGGGGAACAAGCCCTGGCTGTGTGCTAAGGGGCACGGAGTGATGTCCCCATCACCCCCACGCAGGCCGGGATGCTTGAGCCAGCAGCGTCTCCCAGGCATGGGAGCCTGCCCTGGCCGCCGTCGGACCTGAGTGACGTGGACGCCCCGGGGTTGTTACGTAGCCTGAAAAGGGCCCAATCAACCTGTTTTTGGTTCTGTGAATTAAATGCTGTGTGGAATTAGTTCCAGCTGCAGTTTTGTTTAGACAGTCTGACTTTGCCACTTTTGTGGTGTCAATGATTCATAAACCCTCGCAGAGAGGGCTCTGACTCACAACTTCAGGATGAGCAGCTGAGGCAGCTTGAGCCCTGTTTTGTCACCATTACCATACCCAGAGCAGGGTGAGCAGAACAGAAGTGCTCGTCTCGGTTGTTCCAGCTTCCGTTCATCGTTTGGCATCTGAGCCCAAAGCCACCGCGGTCCCTGCCGCTCGCTCACGTTGTCACCGTGA